CCTCAGTGGAGCCGGTTCCCTCCGGAGCTCGGAGGGAATCCGCCATTTCCAGATCGCGTCAACCCGGAAGTCCAATAGGGGACAATCTCCTCTTGTATCTGCCTTTAAAAGGCTTCTACATTTGTCACTCTGTGTCCCTAGACAAGACGTTCTTCTTTTCTGGAACGGGTTTTGCAAATTTCATAAGGTCAATTAGATTTGTTCCTTGACATTTAAATTATTTTCTGTAATGGATGGGTTTGTTCTACAATACATGGCCCTTGTTGATCCCCGTGACACATAGGTTTATGTGTGCTACAATGCAAAGGTGTTCTAAATTCAGACTGTGACAACACTTACAGCACAATCCTGTACACCTCTACTCAGTAGTAAGTCCAATTGAGTTCATTGATAAGGCTGAAATGTTCCACTTTACCTCTGAACTAACCACAGTTGACTGTGGTGTCTGAGCTCTGGGAACCATCATTTGTTTAAACTATGTATATTGAAAAGTCAGTAAAAAGGGATTTAGATCTTGCCTTGTTCTCACTAAACCCTAGTTTAAACAAACCACAGTTCACAGAGTTTGGAAGTCGGGGAACCACCATTTGTTCAAACTGTGTTTATTGTGTAGTCAGTAAAAATTGGATTTGGATCTTGCCTTGTTCTCACTAAACCCTAGTTTAAACAAACCACAGTTCACAGAGCTTGGAGGTCACCGAGAACTGTGGTCTGTTTGAGATTGAAAATAGAACCTTTCAATCTCTCTCTGATTCATGAAAGAGGAGAGTGGAGCACACAAGCTGTAGGTTCTGGCCACCTCACCTCAGCCAGGATATTGTAGAGCTGGAAAAGGTTTAGAAAAGTGCCTTCAGGAATAATCAAGAGGATGAAGAAAGGTTGCAGCATTTGGGACTATTTAGTTTAAAGAAAAAGCAAGTAAGAGGCAACATAAGTTTATAAAAACTTACAATGACATGAAGAAAATTTAATAGAGAAAGGTTTTTCTCTGTCATAGCAGTAGAACTTGTGGACACCCAATGAAGTTGAACATCGGAAGATTAAGGGGAGCTGAAAGAAAGTACCTCCTCATAGTCATAGCCATACTATGGAATGTGCTCCCCAGGAGACAGTGATGGCCACCAACTTGGGATGACATTAAAAGACGATTGGACAAATTCATGGAGGAGGAGTGGGCTATCAATGGTTATACTCTACCACCCCAGTTGGAGGCAACAATGCTTCTGAACACCCGTTGCTGGAAACCACAGGAGGGGAGAATTCTCTTGTGCTCATGTTCTGCTCGCTTGTTTCCTGCAGGCACCTGGTTGACCACTGTGAGAACAGGATGTTGGACTAGATGGGCCATTGGCCTGATCCAGCAGGCTGTTCATAGAGCAACAATACTTCTCAGTTGGGCTTCTTAGAATTATAGTGTTGGAAGGTGCCCAAGGGTCACCTTGTCCAACCCCCTGCAATACACAAATCTCAGCTAAAGCATCCATGACAAATGACCACCCAGCCTCTGCTTTAAAACCTCCAGGGGTCCACCACATCTCATGGGCAGTCTGTTCCGCTTCCGAACTGCTCTTACTGTCTGTAATTTCCTCCCAAATGTTTTGTGGGAATCTTCTTTCTTGTAGCGAAGCCATTGCCTCAAGTCCTACCCTCAAGAGCAGGAGAAAACAAGCCTGCTCCATCTTCCATAAAGGTATTTGAAGATGGCCATCATATCTCTTCTCAGTCATCTCCTCTCCAGGCTAAACATACCCTTCAACCATTCCTCATAAGGCTTGGTTTCCAGACCCTTGGTCATCTTGGTTGCCTTCCTCTGCACACGTTCCTGGGTATAACAACAACAACAACAACAACAACAATAAGAACAAATACCTCGCCCATCTGGCTGGGTTTCACCAGCCACTCTGGGCGGCTTCCAACAGAATATTAAAATACAATAGTCCATTAAACATTAAAAGCTTCCCTAAACAGGGCTGCCTTCAGATGTCTTCTAAAAGTCTGGTAGTTTTCTTTCTCTTTGACATCTGGTGGGGGGACGTTCCATAGGGCGGGTGCCACTACCGAGAAGGCCCTCTCCCTGGTTCCCTGTAACTTGGCTTCTCGCAGTGAGGGAACCGCCAGAAGGCCCTCGGCACTGGACCTCAGTGTCCAGGCAGAACGATGCGGGTGGAGACACTCCTTCAGGTAGAAATATCAGTTGATATATATGCTCCCTAAACCTTTTTTTTAAGAAAAGGAAATATGCAGTGAATGGGAATGTAGTTTTCCATTCAGCAGCAAAAGCAGCTGATCCTATATTCCTGCATATAAGGGACTAGCTGACCCTTCTATGATTCTGTCTAGGGTTTACCGAGACCCAATCAATCACCAGGCACTCTTACTGCTTCTAGGCCACATTTAGGCAAACTATGGTAAAGGCATTCCAGGTCTAAGTTAAGCGAAATAAATACCTCTTCTTGTCAGAGCAAGTGGAAATATACGTGTGCTATCTCCTCTGTGCTGCTGTCACTGATATATATTTGTTTTAAAGTACACTTTCCAATAGTAGTACTGCAAGTTTAGTCTAAACCAGTGGAAGGGATCAAGGTTCTCTTTGAAACATTTCAGATGTTTTGCTCACTAGAACGTACTCTTTTCAGTCGAAAAGCTTTGTTCTTTGCAGCCAAAATATTGAAAGGCATCTTGCTGGGATGGGTGGGTAGAAAGATTACTGCATCCCTTGGAATGAACTATAACCTAAAATGTTGAAGGCAAGTATGTCAAGCTGGGCAATTTATACTTACTAGAAAGTCACCACTGTATCTGCAGCATTAGAGAAACTTATTGCAGGACTAAGTACAAGGAGGCAGCCCAGTTTCTCCCCGTAACACAATTTAAGCGTCTTTCAGAAGTAGCCATTAAACACATACAGAAACCTATAGTATTGTTTTGCTCTTGGCACTGTCTGCTACAAAAAATGCATTTTTTTTGTTCAAAGTATCCTCCAAAGGTCATTTAGAATCCCTGGTGCAAAGCCTATGCTATTAAGTCATTTCTGTTGGGGTTTCTGGGACCGGGTGTCCCATTCCTTGCAGGAAATGCCACTTAGCTAGGGTTTTGGGGAGTGCTCACTGCTGCTATCTAACCTGCCCTACCCATCTCTTCTCTGCCCCAAAGATAGTTTTCTGGGCCCTCGTAGCAGGAAGAGATGGGAAAGTGGAGAGTGGTTTGTTCGCGCCCTCCAAACTGTTTTGAAAGCATTCAAACAAGACTTGTTGAGAAAGCTTAGTGGCAAAGGCTTGATCCTTACCCGGGCAAGCAGAGGTGTGTTCGTGCACCCGCAAACATAACAATGTCCTTTCGATTAGGCTTACAACATTGCATGCTAGCCAGGGCCGGATTTAGGTTTGATGAGGCCCTAAGCTACTGAAGGTAATGGGGCCCTTTATATGTCCAGCTGTCCTTTGTCAACAACAAATTGCTGCTGCTTTTTGTGTTGAATATATACTATATGGTAATTTATGGACCTAATAGGTATCTAAATCCATTTGCACATGCAGAATGTAGGCACCCTATATATAGAAAAGAGCAAAGCAGTGATATTTTAGGGAGCAGGCTAGCAGGCGGGGTCCATGACGTACACCATAGGAGCCTACACAACACAAAACACTGTTGCTGTACGTAGGTTTTATTTTATTTGTTTTTTATCTTATATTTTGGAAATGTACATCCAGTTTTTTCCCCTTTAAATTTTTTGGGGCCGCCCAAGAGAATGAAGCTGAGGCTCCAGTACTTTGGCCACCTCATGAGAAGAGAAGACTCCCTGGAGAAGACACTGATGTTGGGAAAGATGGAGGGCACAAGGAGAAGGGGGCGACGGAGGACGAGATGGTTGGATAGTGTTTTCGAGGTTACCAGCATGAGTTTGACCAAACTGCGGGAGGTAGTGGAGGACAGAGGTGCCTGGCGTGCTCTGGTCCATGGGGTCACGAAGAGTTGGACACGACTAAACGACTAAACAACAACAACAAAGAGAATGGGGCCCTAAGCTATAGCTTGTTTAGCTTACATGTAAATCTGGCACTGCTGCTATCCCGATTTACTCACATACATTAGAGTGGAGCACGGAAGATGCATTTCTTGTGACAATTCAAATTCTTCCCCTCGCAGAAAAGCAATTCTGACAGAACGTGGGGGGGAAAGGGAGGTGAGATTGTGAATATGTTATTCACAACTGAGACCTTTTGAACTCTTGGTTCTTCCTGCGTAAGGTGTAGCTGCTGCTTCTGTTTTATAACTAGGAGGTGTCGATTTTGCCGTTGTGTTTCAGGATGCCCGGGCATGTCTTCGTCATGGGGCTCCACGAAGGATAATGTGAGCCAGATATGCAAAGCTGCAAGGCTACATGATTCATTGGTCCTGTGACCTGCTTTCCTAAATGACATTCATAAAGCACACACCTAAACCTATCAGTCTTGATCGAGATCTGTAACTGTGCTGGAAGTAGCACTGCTAGTGATCAATAAAAATATGTTCTCCTGCTTGCCAAGTGCAAAGTACGCTTGGGCATCTGATTGAAAAGTATCAGGGTTTTTTTTTTTTTGTTTCGTTTTTGCAAGACATTGTCCTTTTATGTTCTGCTAGGATGTTTGTCATCGATAAATCTATGCAATGACATTGTCTGGGGAGGGCCAGAGGGTTGGTGGCCCCAGGCGCATTTGTTAGGGGGCACATTTTGCTCCTCGCCGCCTTGTCTGCCCTGCGAAGCTCTGGGGAAATTGCTTGCAAAAACACGCGCCTTAGTTAAAAATGTGTATGCAGTTTTCATGGGGATTTTAAAAAATAAAATGCTGATTGCTATGGAAATGTGGGAAACTGGATTTTTAAGCGTGGAAAAACGAGAAATTAAGAGAACCAAATTTCACAAAGTCCTTCTATCGCTACTCTCCAGAGATTTTTGTGATTTTAAATGCAATCTCAATTTTGCACGTGGACTTAAATTGCGTTTTCTTCTGTCTCTTAAGTTACAGGAGTCAACATTTGACGGTATCAACTGGGAAACGGATTCGCAGTTCATTTTTTGTTGCCCTTTCTTCTCTGTTCAAACGTAGATGTCCTTGCCCCTTTCGTCTGCCATTATACAGGTAAGCTGTTGGGCTCCTTTTTGGGAGAAATGGTGGTATACAAATTTAATGAATAAATTTTGTCTAGGGAAACAAGAATATTGGTGGTATAGGGGCATACTGTTGTTGTTTAGTGGTGTCCGACTCTTCGTGACCCCATGGACCAGAGCATGCCAGGCCCTTCTGTCTTCCACTGCCTCCCGCAGTTTGGTCAGACTCATGTTTGTAGCTTCGAGAACATTGTCCAACCATCTCGTCCTCTGTCGTCCCCTTCTCCTTGTGCCCTCCATCTTTCCCAACAATAGGGTCTTTTCCAGGGAGTCTTCTCTTCTCATGAGGTGGCCAAAGTATTGGAACCTCAGCTTCAGGATCTGTCCTTCCAGTGAGCGCTCAGGGCTGATTTCCTTCAGAATGGAGAGGTTTGATCTTCTTGCAGTCCATGGGACTCTCAAGAGTCTCCTCCAGCACCATAATTCAAAAGCATCAATTTTTTGGTGATCAGCCTTCTTTATGGTCTAGCTCAGTGTTCCCCAACCTTGGGCCTCCAGCTGTTTTTGGACTACAACTCCCATCATCCCTCGCTAGCAAGACCAGTGGTCAAGGATGATGGGAATTGTAGTCCAAAAACAGCTGGAGGCCCAAGGTTGGGGAACACTGGTCTAGCTCTCACTTCTATACATCACTACTGGGAAAACCATAGCTTTATATGAGTGCAAAATTTTCATTTTCTGGATTAATTTTTTTGTAAGTGTAGTGTTCAAATTATACTGAATTGTTTATTCATATTTTTAGTCGGTTCCGAATTTTGTGGACAATCTCACCCTTTTCCCATCGCAGCCAAGAATCCAGGGTGGCACCTGGGTGAAGATCTCTTCCTCCTGGGCACCTTGCATTACTTTTCTGCCTCCTGTCAAAGTCTTTAGTGTGTCAGCACTACTTCCTGCTGAGATATAGCTTACTGGTGCATTTTTTTCTGGCTGTTTTCTGGAAATCGATAGCCAATATATGCTGTTTCATAAAATGGAACCCTGAGGAGCCATGTCTTGAGTTGATAGGAAACATGATTTGCCAGCTGACAATCAAGCTGCCTAAAGCTTATAGAAAGCCCTTCTAGGCTGCTCTTTCTGAATTTGGTTCTGAGCCTCTGTGAATAGGCACTTATAAAAAAAATATAGCAGCAAAAAAACTCTTCCAAATAGCAGTGTTTTACCACTTTCCTTTTTGTATCAAGTTGTTCAGTTCCATATGACAAAATACTGCTATTTGGGAGGGTTTTTTTTTGGGGGGGGGTCTGTGCTATTTTCCTCTTTCTTCTTTTGATTGCTGCGTGTCTATTAAACATCGCATGGCTGTCCTCTTTCTGCCCCTGACATCCTGCGCTCTCTGTAATTCTCCTCAAATTGTAAAACCATTTCTTCATCGCCTTCTCTAGTCACCTTCTCTTCCCCAATTTATGCTTTATTCAGGAGTGGAGAAACTTGTTAAGCCCACGCTTATTTCTCTTGGTGATCTCATCTGCTCAGGTGAATTCTTAACAACCTTTTCTGATGAGTCCCTAAATCAGCCGCTGACCTGCCCACCTCTTCTCAGGGCCAAACCATACACCATGCACAGTTCCTGACCTCTTTCCTCCTCATCTCAATTTCCTTTATTTTATTTTTTAAATGAAAGGCAAGCTTGAAGGATTGCAGTTAGGAGTGGAAAATGGGAAGGAGTGGGAGAACTTTTGTCCCATCTACCGTTCTTCTTGAAATTTTGGGTATTATTATTTTTTAAAGACAAGTAGATGTTGCAAAAGGGACGCGGGTGGCACTGTGGGTTAAACCACAGAGCCTAGGACTTGCCGATCAGAAGGTCGGCGGTTCAAATCCCCATTACGGGGTTAGCTCCTGTTGCTCGGTCCTTGCTCCTGCCAACCTAGCAGTTCGAAAGCACATCCAAGTGCAAGTAGAGAAATAGGGAAGGTAAATGGCGTTTCTGTGCACTGCTCTGGTTCGCCATAAGTGGCTTAGTTATGCTGGCCACATGACCCGGAAGCTGTACGCCGGCTCCCTTGGCCAATAAAGCGAGATGAGCGCCGCAACCCAAGTCGGTCACGACTGGACCTAATGGTCAAGGGGTCCCTTTACCTTTACCCTTTTAGTTATTGCAAAACCAAGGGGTGGCAGCAGTAGTGAGGAGTACTAGAGGAAACTGAATATATATGCTTTCTCCAGTTTTCACGGAAATTCTTGCTTTGGTTTGGTTTTGCAAAATGTACTTGTAAAAGTGCCTCATGTCTTGTCCTGCTATATATGGGATAGGTGATTGAGAGGGCAGATTATGAGGCAGCTTCATTTAAGCACGAGAGATCTGGAGGGTGGCAGCACGAGAATGGGCCTTTTCTGCAGTGGCTCCCCATTTGTGGAATGTTCTCCCCAGAAAGGCATACCTGGCACCTTCATTATACTTTAGGCGCCTGGCAAAAACTTTCCTCTTGAACCAGGCCTCTGGCAGATTGACATCTGATGCCCTTTGAAAATGTGCTGGGGATGGAGGAATCACAGTGGTACCTCTGGTTGCGAACAGGATCCGTTCCGGAGGCCCGTTCGCAACATGAAAAGAGCGTAACCCATAGCGGCGCATCTGCTGAAGCACGGGTTTGCGATTCGGTGCTTCTGCACATGCGCACAATGTCATTTTGTGCGCATGTGCGAATGCGGGACCCGGAAATAACCCTTTCTGGTACTTCTGGGTCACCGCAGGACGTAACCTGAAAGAACGTAACATGAAGCAAATGTAACATGAGGTATGACTGTATTGGGTTGTTCTTGTTTTTATTTTTTATCACGTATTTTATGCTTCTATATTGCGGTTTTATGCTGTGAACCGCCCTGAGACCTGCGTGCATTGGGTGGTATACAAATTTAATAAATAATACTCCTTTCTTCCACAAAAAGGGACTAGAAATAAATAATTTTATTTTCTTTGAAATGTAAGTTATACACTGCCTGTTAACTTGTAAGAGAGGAGTGTGGTACCTTTGACCTGCCGGCCTCATAAGGCCCTTCCCATTTGGCCCACCAGGGAGACATGGCCACAAGCCTTACACCTGATGCCCTATGCAATGTCAGGTGTGGAACAGGTAAAATCGTGGCTGGGCTAGAAAGTCTGCACGCCCCTTTGCAAGGCTCCTTGAAGAGCCTTGCTGACTGTCAGAGCTTTAAGAGAGACCTGCACAGCCAAAGCTGCCCAAATCAGCTGGGATAAACTGCTCTAATCCTCTGGAAACTCCCTAGCATAGCCGGGGGGGGGGGGGGCTGGAGGAAGCGACTTGCATTCACGGTGCTTCCTTCAGAGCTTTGAATACAAACTGCAACCTTTGGAAGGAAAAGGAAAACAGAGCATCTTTTTCTTTCTTCCCAGAGGAAGGAGTTTGTATTCCAGGCACTGGAGGAAGTCCATTAAATACAAACCGCTTTCTCAGCAGAGGAGAAAATATTCTGTTTTCAATAAGCTTTTCCCTGTCTCTAGTCCAAGTTTTGATCAGCCAGTGGGCAATTGCAGGGAGCATCTCGGAAGGAGGTTGCTGTAACTCCCCCTCCTCTGAACTTTTGACAGGTGTCAGTCAGGGGTTTGTCAGAGTTGGAGTTTGAGGAAATAAGGATCTGGTCCTATGATTGGATCTGTTTCTCCACCCTGGCTCTAAGGCAACATAGGACTATTAATTGGATTCAACTCAAATGAGCAATTGTCCTGGGGGGTGCACTTGTGTTAGAATGTTAAAATGAAATTGCCCCGCCATAAAACAGGTACCGCCGGATAGGGAGCCTCAGAGGCAAAGAGTGACATAAGCTGAACGTGCGGCGGATCACAGTTGCCTTCTTAGTGACCAGTGCTTGGGTTTTCTCCAGTTTCCTGCAGAAATACCCACACTTCAAACGCCACATGAATTCTGCATGAGATTCTGCATGAGCTAGATGCAGTATTTGATCCAAGCACTGTGTAACAACCCAGCTTTTTATTCTCCAGCAGAGTAGTCCTGATTTAAACACATTCGTTGAATAAAATTAATCTTAAACAAGGTTAGCCATTGAAAGGCAACCCAAGCAAAGCATGGGAAGTTTGTGTATGAATGGGATATTGATGAATTCTTATATTTCCAGAAATGGGTTTGGGTGTATATTGACTGTACAAGCATTTGCAAAATGTGGCGCTGTGGTCTAAACCACTGAGCCTAGGGCTTGCCGATCAGAAGGTTGGTGGTTTGAATCCCCGTGACAGGGTGAGCTCACGTTGCTCAGTCCCAGCTCCTGCCCACCTAACAGTTCGAAAGCACATCAAAGTGCAAGTAGATAAATAGGTACCACTCCGGCGGGAAGGTAAACAGCGTTTCCGTGCGCTGCTCTGGTTTCACCAGAAGCGGCTTAGTCATGCTGGCCACATGACCTGGAAAAACTGTCTGTGGACAAACGCCGGCTCCCTCGGCCAGTAAAGCGAGATGTGCGCCGTAACCCCAGAGTCTTTTGCGACTGGACTTAACTGTCAGGGGTCCTTTACCTTTACCTTTACCTTTAAGAATAAGAGAGCAGGGGATTTGAAGAGAGTATATCTGGATAGATAGTGAGTACTTCATTTTGGTGTAGAAAGCCTGCTCCTCTAATGAAGAGTTTGCTGTTTGTTTCCATAATCTATCAGCTATATTTATTTATTTTGCATAGTTTCTATCCTGCCTTTCTGTTCAAAGTTCCTATAACATTTTACATTCTGTGAAGTCTCCATAATTTCTTTAAAAACCACAAATACTGATTTTTTAATAATTTTTTTCAAATGAAAATACACAAAAGTAATAACAATACTATTTTAAAATTTTCTTTAAAAAGTTCGCTTCCCTCTTCTTTTTCCTTTGAATTTGCAAACGAATTAAAAAGAAGCGATAATATTAATTTAAAAGAAAAGAAAAGAAGCAAAGAAAAGAAAATGTAGCTATTCAAGTCAGCAGCATCAGCCTCTTTGGGAAGCAGTTAACATAGCCAAAGCCCTGATTAAAATAAGTTAGCAACCATTAAACGTCTTGGGAAACAAAATGGCCGTGCACCCTCGGATTGGGCATGAGGGGAAGGGAATTCTATAATGGCTTTTAATACAAGCTTTGGTCTATTGCAGTGTGTAACTGTTTGCTACTGTTCATTGCTTAACACCAAGGACGTGCTAAGTTATGTCTAGGGACCAGCGTCAAGAGTGGCTCACAATAATTTAAACAGAGGGAATAGAAATGGCTCCAAGAAGGTTGTAGCCATTGAGGTGCAGTGGAGATGTACGTTGGTTCTTTTACCAACCTCCTCGGCTCGAAATGTGATTTTTCTTCGCCCTCCGGGAATGCTTAGTAGGCCGGAGTCAGGAGGGAAGGCATTCTGGTGACAGCCCAGACTGTTGGGAAGGCTGCGATGGCAGGAAATTTAATTTATGCCCTCTAGCTGTCAGTTGTAAGAAGATCTTGTTACATCGCCTCTGAGGAACCGGCCGACCTTGATCTAAGAGCAAGGCATTCTGAGTTGACTGAAGTGTGGAACTGGGACAGAAGGGGAAGGCCAGGGAGAGAGATAAACAAGAGGTAACCAGGTCAGATGTTTCTGCAGTAGTATGTTGACAGCTACTATATTTCAGTCCCCTAACACCGTATTCTCCGACAGAATGTGCTAGGCTAGAGGCAATGGAGGCTACAGAGTAGATAGCCTACTGCTTCTATTGTTCTTCGCTGTCTTCGTAATGACCCTAACTCTTTGGGGCTGTGAATGAGCTTCAGGGAGAATATTGGCTACTCCTTGAGGTTTTTAGTGTTGCCAGCTTCATTGAGGATCTTGCCAATTGGGCCCCAGCAGACCCAGCACTCTAGGCCTTTTGAAAATGTCGGAGAATCCATCTTTCCTCGCTGGCTTTCCACAGAAGGTGTTTTTAGTTTAGGGTTTTGGCTATCGTTGGGGTTCTTTTTGGTCATATTTTAGTAGTTCTGGGATGATGCTCATGATTATTACCTGCCCTTCGCCAGCAGGTCCTGGGGCATATGACAGGAGTTTAAAATTCAGAATTATAAGTGCGGTTGAAATGCAGTACAGACACAAGACTAGGATGGGCTCTGAGGACACAGAGAATTCTACAACTCAGGGGCTGCCACAGTGAATGCCCTCTTCACGGCCACCCTTCCCGAACTTCTGAGCGATGTGGGACTACCCAGAAGACCCCCTCTGTTGACCTTACAACCTGGGAGGGTTTGTAGGGAAGAAGCTGTCTGTTCAGATATTTGAAGCCTAAGTCATATCAATTGCTGGCCTGTTGATATTTTATTGTGCCTGTATTGTTAATTGGCATTTTTTGGGGAAGCCACCTTGAACGAGTGTGCTTCTAAGGGTGGTGTATAAATATTTTAGATAAAATAAGTATATTTCAGGCTTAATCGGTTCTTACTACTTTCAGACTAGGCACCTATATCAAATTCCAACATCTTCAGTGTAAGTTGGGGTGGGGGCACTGGATCTGGTTGGTGGCCTGCATCCTGGCCACCCACCTGTCAGTACCTTTGCATCACCTTGAGTCAGGTGATGCGTTTCTTTTGCCAGCGTAGTTTGGAATAAAAGGAGTGACTTTGCAGTTGCCTTCAAACCTTCCTTTCGGCAGGGAGCTGCGTCTTTATCTGCACCACACCTAACATAATACCTGATGTCAGGTGTGGGGCAGGTGACTGTGGCTTCAGGTAAGCGTTCTGATGGACCTAATCAGGGCTGCAGGATCCCCACCAAAGACACAAGTTGGTGACTTTTCATTTGGTCGTTTGCAACTGAATGCTGGAACAACCTCATTGGAGAAGCATTGTCTTTGAGGCGATAGATGATATGGGAATTTTATCTGAAGCTGTTTTTCCATGCATGCAAATCACCACTTGCTGCTGCAGCTCTTGAGTAGTGAATCTGCATGTGTGCACTTTCTCTTCAAAGGAAGGAGAGGGAAGGGCTTTTGCATATTTCTGTGTACTCAATATGTTCCAACGCTCATGATGTTGGAGGAACCTCAGACAAATGTTTGCATGAAATACGCATCTGTTTCTCATCTGAATTGTGTGGGTACAAGACTCTCTCTTCATGCAAGTGTGGATATGTGTTTTCTTTTAGTAATATTTATCAACTGCAACATGGACGCAAGCAAGAAAGCAGATCCCCCGGTGTCAGTGGAACTGGTCCAAAAGGCAAACCCCGACCGCAGCCCAGTGCCATCCATTTATGTGCCCGAACAAGGTGGCTACAAAGAGAAATTTGTGAATGCGGTGGAGGACAAATACAAATGCGAAAAGTGCCACCTCATTTTGTGCAATCCAAAGCAGACAGAATGTGGGCATCGGTATTGCGAGACCTGTATGAATGCTTTGCTAAGGTTAGTGTTTCTTGGTATTGTTTCAATGGGGTAAAACGGTGCTGAAGGCAAGGTGCTGGCTTTTCTAACCTAAATCCTTTCGTGGTCAAGTTCTAGGCATGAAGTAACTTTGCATGTTGAATATGTATGCCTAAAGTAAAGAGCAAACACCTGGACTAGTTACATATCTAGCAATCCACAAATGAGCTCACCAGTCATTTTTTAATTGGGTCAAACTCTGGACTTCAGAGGCCTTACAGAAAATAGTGCTCTATGTGACACCAGGTATGAGATTCTGCCCCCCACCTCACTTAGGGGAACCATACATTTTGGTTGACCACGGAAGGCCAACCAAAACTCCTTTGCTCCTTAGTTAGTGCTTGATACATGTCACTGAGAGAGAAGACAGACTGGATAGGTCAGTTGGTAGACCACGAGACTCTTAATTACAGGGCTGTGGGTTCAAGTCTCACATTAGGCAAAAAAATCCTGCATTGCAAGGGGTTGGACTAGATGACTCCCACAGTCCCTTCCAACACTACAATTCTGTGGTTTTATGACAGACAGATAGTTGGAAAGAATGGGATTATATTTTCCCCAAAGACCAAAGAAAGAGTTTTGAAACACCTGAGAGAGTAGCTAATTTTAAACTGCATCTCTTGTAAGTTGATGCTGATAACATTACCATAAATTATTTGCCGGTTCAGAAATAGTCCAGAGAAACGAAGGAGTTGACATTTTCGTATTTTGCCGGATAGATATGAAACATCCACGTCAACAATTATATAGCTGTAGAAGAAAACAGGGAAGTGAAGAAGACACCAAGCCCTAGGGCCTTCCTAGTGGCTCTGAGCTTTTGGAATGATGGGCTGCAATATTGTTCTAGGCAGTTGTTAATTGCTCGCTACTGCTGTTAAGCTCATTGTGCAGCACCTAGGTTTCTTGTCCTTCTTGATCCATCACTGTAAATATGCAGGCATCAGAAACAAATCTTACTGAGTCCTACAAAAGTGCTGTTTTATTGCAAATAAAGGATAAAGTCTAGTTATTTCTTCCTGGATATATGTAGAATGGAATCATAGGGCTGGAAGGGAACTCAAAGGCCCGTCCAATCCAACCCCCTGCAATGCAGGATATATTAGAGATGAAAGTTGTTTGTGTATATTGGGTGTGTGGCACTGTGGTCTAAACCACAGAGCCTGGGGCTTGCCGATCAGAAGGTCAGTGGTTCGAATCCCCGCAACGGGGTGAGCTCCCGCTGTTCAGTCCCTGCTCCTGCCAACCTAGCAGTTCGAAAGCACATCAAAGTGCAAGTGGATAAATAGGTACCGCTCCGGCGGGAAGGTAAACAGCATTTCCGTTCGCTACTCTGGTTCACCAGAAGCGGCTTAGTCATGGTGGCCACATGACCCGGAAGCTGTACGCCGGCTCCCTCGGCCAGTAAAGCGAGATGAGTGCCGCAACCCGAGAGTCGTTCATGACTGGACTTAACGGTCAGGGGTCCCTTTACATACATACACACACACACACAATTTCCGTAGTAGAATGCTGTCATCTCACGCTGTTAACAGCTGATAAGAGGGAGGCAAAAAAATGAATAATAATTAGATGAGGTAAAGTGAAAGATGTGGGGGGGGGGAAATGTTCCTGTTATGATGAAATCAATTTGGGAAGAATGAGACTTGTAATCCAAAATGCTAAGTTGGTGGGCGTCTACTTCCCTAAGATGTTTAGATATGTGATTGAATGTTAATTGTGTTTTCTGTGTTGTACCAAGCAAATGGCCTTCTGAAAGTGTGTGTGTGTGTGTGTGTGTGTGTGTGTGTGTGAATGAAATAATAATATGAATTTCAAATAACCTGAAAGCTGCAAAGAGTAAATGGCTTTGTGGTGTTTCGCTGCTCGTGCATTGTTGTTTGCATACCATTACCCCTTTCTATATAATTCTTCTAGAATCATTGTTTGCAGTGATTGTGTGGGCTCCACTTCCATTTCCAACTCCCGACTGTTAAAATGAATGGAGAGCGTGCCATCGCATTGGGTTTGGAGCTGTGGGTGGAAAGCAATTCCATTCTCGGTTCTCGTGTACTTGTTAGAATATAACGATTATGCCGTGGAGCCTTTAGCACTCTCTCTCTCTGGGTCATCTGAGGATAGAGAGACAAGAACCACTGAAGACAGCCCAGTGAAGATTACTGCTCAGTATGCAGCAGTAGTTTAAAAGAGCAAACAGGATGCTTGAGTGCATTCAATAAGGACTAGGAGACAATAGCACAGTATCAGATGAATGGTATTTGTTCTAATGCAGAGCACAAGTTTCCTGCATTATCCTCATCTCAAAGTGACGGGAAATTAGAGATGAAAGAAATGAAGAGAGTCAGTGGAGATCATAGAACCGTAGAAGGGACCCTGAGGGTCATCTAGTCCAACCCCCTGCAACACAGGAATCTCAACTAGAGCATCCATGACAGATGGCCATCCAACCTCTGCTTAGAAACCTCCAAGGAAGGAGAACCCACCACCTTCTGAGGGAGTCCATTCTGCTGTCTTAAGAGCTCTTACCATCTGAAAGCGCTTCCTGATGTTTAGTTGGAATTTGCTTTCTTGTAACTTGGTTCATTGGTTCAGGTCCCATCCTCCAGAGCAGGAGAAAAGAAGTTTGCTCCATCTTCCATTTGACAGCCCTTTAGCTATTTGAAAATGGCTGTCACATCTCATCTTAAGTCTCCTCTTACCCAGGTTAAACATACCCACCTCCTTCAACCGTTCCTCATAAAGGCTTGGTTCCCAGACCCTTGATCATCTTGGTAGCCCTCCTCTGCACACGCTCCAACTTGTCAACATCCTTCTTAAATTGTGGTGCCCAGAACTGGACACCAGGTGTGGTCTGACCAGGTCAGAACAGAGTGGGACTATTCCCTTGATCTGGACACTGTACTTCTGTTGATGTAGCCTAGAATAGTGGGTGGCGCTGTGGGTTAAACCACAGAGCCTAGGACTTGCCGATCAGAAGGTCGGCAGTTCGAATCCCCGCGACGGGGTGAGCTCCCGTTGCTCGGTCCCTTCTCCTGCCAACGTAGCAGTTTGAAAGCATGTCAAAGTGCAAGTAGATAAATAGGTATCGCTCCGGCGGAAAGGTAAACAGCGTTTCCGTGTGCTGCTCTGGTTTGCCAGAAGTGGCTTAGTCATGCTGGGCACATGACCCGGAAGCTGTACGCCAACTCCCTCGGCCAATAAAGTGAGATGAGCATCGCAACCCCAGAGTCGGTCACGACTGGACCTAATGGTCAGGGGTCCCTTTACCTTTAGAATAGCATTAGCTTTCTTTTCTTTTTGCTGCTGCATCACTCTGTTAACTCATGTTAAGCTTGTGGGCCTACTAAGACGTTAGGAAGTGTGTTGCTGTTAGCATGACAGCATTTAAAAGATGAGGATTAAATTGACTAGAGTAATCAAGGGCTACAATTGAAGTAGCTAATATAGGTGATGCAAGGGCACCGTCTAGAATAGCAATTGCCGCTGCATTTTGCACAACTGAATTGCTAGCATCCTACTCATCCATTGAGCGGCAGACGATCTGGGCTGAAACTTTAACACACATACAGATTATGCACTGGAGCTTTGGAGAAGAGCAGAGATGTTGGACCTTTTTGGGAGATGCCAGCAGGTACCCTTAGGAAGGTTTACCACCCAACTTTATCGCTGTGCTAGCACTGTGCATGTCCAGCTGTCAGGGGGGCATAGTGGACCCCCCTCCATGCATGAAGAACGGTGTGTGCACACAGTGTGCATGAAGGCATCAGCTGCGAAGCAACCTTATCTCCCGGCATTGTTGCTGTCAGTAAGAAAGGAAGCTTTCACTCTGTTATGCTCTTAAGGTAATCTTCTTGTTGCATCAAAGCCGACAAGTGATTGTGAATGGAGCATTGCAATAGCATTATGATGCTTTTGCAAGAGCTTTGGCTCAGTGTTGCAGGTAGATAGTCTTACGGCGCAAGTAGGTTTTTTTTTAAAAAAACACAACTGTTTTATAGCCATGCTTTTAAAAGTTGACCCGGAACAGTAAGCTTGCTACATCATTAATAAAGTTATGGTTTCCCATTTTTAAAATATAGAATTTTAGAGATGGAAGGGGACCCCTTGCAATGCAGGAATATGCAGCTGGATTGAACCTGCAGCCTTGGCGCTATTGGCACCACACTCTAATCAACTGAGCTGTCCAGGCATTTAATGTCATAAACTTTCATAATAGCCGTAAATAGTGTAACCCAGCCTCCTCCTCCGACCTGGTGTCCTCCAGTTGTTTAGGACTGCAACTCCCATCATCCCTGACCAAGAAGCACCTGGTTAAGGGAAGCTGGCACAACCTCTCTTGGGAGTCTTCGCTGAGCTGTTTAATAATAATAATAATTAATAATAATAATAATAATAATAATATAATTATTTATACCCCGCCCTCCCCGGCCAGAGCCGGGCTCAGGGCGGCTAACACCAATAAAATCACAGTAAAAACATAATAGGGGGAACAAGAAAACCAATTTAAAATACAGGTTAAAAATGCAATTTTAAAATGCAGTGTCATTTTAAAAGTAGCCAATAAAATCAAGACCATAAGGGGAGGGAAACATAAGGGGTCAGACTGAGTCCAAACCAAAGGCCGGGTTGGAAACAGCTCTGTCTTGCAAGCCCTGGGGAAAAATATCAAGTCCTGCAGGTCCCTAGTCTCTTTGTTGACAGAGCTTTCCACCTAAGTCGGGGCCAGTACTGAAAAGGCCCTGGCCCTAGTTTGAGACCAATCTAACCACCTTTGCAACCTGCGACCTCCAAAATGTTGGTCATTTGTGGACCTTAAGGCCCTCTGCGGGGCAATAAAAGGGTAAAGGACCCCTGCCCGTACGGGGCCAGTCTTGACAGACTCTAGGGTTGTGCGCCCATCTCACTCAAGAGGCTGAGGGCCAGTGCTGTCCGGAGGACACTTCCGGTCACGTGGCCAGCGTGACAAGCTGCCATCTGGCGAGCCAGCGCAGCACACGGAAACGCCGTTTACCTTCCCGCCAGTTAAGCCGGTCCATATTTATCTACTTGCACCCGGGGGTGCTTTGAACTGTAGGTTGGCAGGCGTGGGACGAGCAACGGGAGCGCACCCCGCCGCAGGGATTCGAATCCGCCGACCTTTGATCGGCAAGCCCTAGGCGCTGAGGCTTTTACCCACAGCGCCACCTGCGGGGCATACCAGGAGATTAATACCAGGAGATTAATACCAGGAGATCATGCAGATTAAACAAAACAAACAAACAAAAGGAAGGGAAATAATAAAAATTCTGCTTGAAGGAAAGGTGCTCTGAACATCACAGGTCTGGGCCCAGACTTGCCGCTGAGCAGAGCTCTCCTTGTCTGGAAGGATGGGATGTGAGGCTGAGTCCTTTTCTTCCTTGTAGCCCCTGAAGATGCTCAGCCCAGAGGTTGAGGGGGTTGTAGAATCATTAGAACTGTGGAGTTGGAAGGGACCCCGGAGTCATCTAGTCCAACCCCCTGCAATGCAGGAATCTCAGCTAAAGCATCATGATGGACAGCCATCCAACCTCTGGGTTAAAAACCTCCAAGGAAGAGTCCACCACCTCTCGTGGGAGACTATTTTCTGGAACAGGATAGGTGCTTGTGGCTGGGGGTTTTGCAGTGGAAAGGGACAACCAATAGAAATTGCCACGCTGCTCCCTTTCACTAGTGGGGAGCCTCTGTTGGATCAATGTTTCCTTTGCCCTTTCATACAGGAGAAAGTTTTGGATTCAACTTATAAGGTGCATTTTGATTTGATTGTTTGTATTCTGCCTTTTTGTGTGTATGTGTGTCATTTAACCTCTGTGACCTGTGCGGTCCCAAACTTTGCCTAGTTTTCTTTTTCCCCCCTTTTAAATGTACTGACCTCTGTTTAAATTTATTGTCAACATATATGAAATGCTACATGTATGCAAACAAAGTTTTGGTGTAAGATCAGTTGTTGTTGTTGTTTTTCTTTTCTAGCTCTGCAATTCCAAAATGTACAGCATGTCAAGAAACAATAGTGAAAGATAAGGTATAGTTCCATCTCCCCACCCCCTCCCCAAAAAACCACCTTATTGTGCATCTTAAACTAGGTTGCTTTGCTTATCTCAGACAAGAAATTGGCCTTTACTTTCTGCAGTGTAAATGCATTTCTAGCTCTTTTTCTCTTGCTCCAGAATTTTCCATGAGTGCAGTTCTTGTATGGGTTGTCCTTTTCAAAAACAGGGCCCACCTGACCCCCAGGAAAGCAGGTAGAGCGGGATTCTTATAGCTGATCTTCTAACTCCTGATAGCAGACAGCTAATGTTGAACTGTCTCCTTACTTGCTCGCCATTCACACATAACTGCAGTTCTTCCCTGAGGAATCAGCCGAGGTGCGTGTAGCCAACAATCCATAACAGGCGGATAGAGATGTAGTTATCTAGCACAAGTTCTATTATAACAAGGCAAGCATGACAAGATAGTTCTGCAGTAGGGAGTTTGCAAACAATACACCACGGGTAGCTAACGTGGTGCCCTCCAGATGCTGTTAGACTGCAACTACCATCAGCCCCAGCCAGTGGAGACGATGGCCAAGGATGATGGGAGTTATAGTCCCACAACTTCTGGTGAACCCCACCATATTGGCTACCCCTGCAGTTCACCCAAAGAATGTAGGAGCTGGTAGTGTTGAGTATCGTGGGTTGTATTCACAAGAGTGCTATGGGGAATGTTTCATCAGTGCAATGATTTCTCTTCATGCATCAGAATGTTCTTCACCCCATTCACTCCCTAAACCTATTGTGGAGGTTCCCACAACACTCTGGAGCAGATTTGGGTGTTGTGGGGGAAAGAGGAGGGGGGAGAGGAGGAAGTCCCTTGGCGCAAGTGGAAATCATTCTGCTTGTGCAGTTGAATAGAGCCTCATGGATGTGGATCTATGCAAGAAAGGGAAGCTGTAGAAGGTTTATAGAGTCATGGTCAATTCACCAGAGAAGCAGATAGTTGCCCCATGGCAGCATCAGTGTGGTTAAAAACTAGAATGACTTGTCTCTTCACATTTTACTAGTGTGGAGTTTGTCCAGTCCCCATGGGGGAAAGTAGATGAAGTTGCATCCAGCGATGAAAGAGCAGGTATTCCTCTTAAGTACAAGTATTGACTCGTCTTGTAGCAAAGCCAGCAGGTGATGCTTGGCAGCGATCATCTGATGGAGATTTGTCACTAGGCAAAAGTTGGCGGGATGGTTGAGGCTGTCATGAAAACCCTGCTTCTGGTCCTGCTGCACCAGTTAGTGGCTCTGCGTTGACACTCAAGCTGGGCAGGTGCTTGGAAGACAGCTAGGCAGGTGCATCTGCTGAAGGAAAACACGCAGGGCATGTCCCAGAAGCCCTAGAAGGTTAGATGCTCCCTATGCAGAAAGTGTGCTGGTGCGCATTGTCCCTGATCAGGAGACACATAGCCGTGGTGTAATCTGCTTTGATTCGTAAGGACAGCTCCTCTGCTGCTACTGGGATGAGGCTAATGAATGACAGGCAGGTAGGAACTCGGGCCTTAACGAGATATACAGCCAGGTAGTCAACAGCATGCGGTCTCTGAGAACAATGCTGCATTCCGCAGTCCCAGAGAGGTGCAGTCATGCAGATAGAGGCTAACAAAGGGCTGTGGAGACGTGGGCTGCTGATGAAGTTCACTTGAAGGCGAATCAAATCGGAGGGATGCTGAGGAGCATGCAGACAGCGCAGAAGGAGTAGAAGAAAGCCTGCTGTGCAAATAAAGCATTCATAGCAGAAGGCTAGATGTTGTGGTATGGATCACAGACCCAAACGCTCCTTGCGATGGCCACATGCTCCAGGATTGAAGCCAGGTTACAAGGCTACAGGTTTTTTGGAGCAAGTCTGCACAGCAGGGGTAGGGAGCAATTTTGGCCCCTAGAGCTGCCTTTGATCATGGGCAGGCTTCTGG